TATATGAAGTCCGTATAGTGTGAACATGCACGAGCATAACGTATCAACTGAGATATGTAAACACCATACGATGGGGCAGAGGGTATGTTACTGCTGAGAAATGGGAAATTGATAATTGGGAAGTTGAAATCGCCTCGTTTGTCATAGATTTTAGTGTGAAGTCGTCCACCTGTGTCAATATTGAGGAAAAGATCAAGGTATGAAGCAGTCATTCTAGTATCAGTAGTATCCTTAATTTCAAGTTCACTGGGATATATGAGATGAAAGTACTGACTAAAAATGGGTTATTCAGTGATAGGACATCATCAATATATCTGAAAGTAAAATTGAAGAATTTCGCAAGGTGCTTTTTCTTTTTTGTCTTTTAGAAGGTTCTGAATGAATTCTGCTTCATACGAGTACAAAAACAAATCGGCCAGTAGGGGTTCACAATTTATACCCATTGGAATGCCGACTCTCTGTTGAAATATCAATCCTCCAAACTCAACAAATATATTGTCGATCAAAAAGTCCATCATTTCGATAATATCATCTTCAGTATATTTTCTGATAGAATCAGTGTGGTTAATCACAAAATAAGAATTATTATAACCCAAAATAAGAAATTTATATCTACGATTTCCATTTTTATAGAAAAAGCTCTGTTTAATGAGATGGTGAAGTCGATCTTTCAATTGAGCATGGGGAATAGTAGTGTAAAGCGTAGAAAAATCAAAAGTTTTTAAGTTGCTGCAAAATTGCAGAGATTTTGATCTAAGATTTAGCAGTAGATCTTTAGAATTTTTAAGAATCCACATCTGATTGACACAATTGGTTGAATATATCTCATCACAATATTTTTGAGGGCAATCTTTTACTGTAGAAAGAATAGTAGTCAGCACTTTAGAAAGATGTTTAGTTGAACATCTTGATGATCCAGCTATGTATCGTTCTGTATAAGGGGTTTTGTGAAGTTTTGGTATCCAGTAATATGACGGTAGATTTTCTTCTTTTTCTTTGATGTTAATACCAAAAGAAAGGACAGATTTGTGATTTTGTAAAATTTCATCCTTTGTAAGTGATGTTAAAGAATATGTAGGATTATCAGTTTTGTTGTTTATTCCAAGCTCTATTGTAAGACATTCCAAGTAATGGTTTTTACATATGAAGACAATATTATTGGAGGCTTTATCTGCTGGAACAACGACATGTTTGTCATGCAAAGAGGATAAAGCATCCACAGCCTCCGGGTTCTTGAATGGGTTAGTAACCCTTGTGCTCATAGTACATCGTAGTTTCTGAATGTGTTTCTGAATGCATGATCGAATAGCTTTGATCCATTCAGACAAAGTGTACAGTTCTGGTTCATCTGGCTCGCGCTTTACCCATTTCTGGCATAGTCTTCAACTGCATTCATCAGTAACCTGAAGATATTTTCCCAGTTGATGGGCTGGGGAATTCTATATTTTGGTCCCTTGGCTAACAACTCTCTTAGTTGTTCATTGGTTACGATGCCAAGGTCGCCAGTAATAACATGACCAGTTGGACTATAATTGTATTTTGACGATGCACATGGTTGAAAATCTTGGATGCAATAGGCTTGGTGTAAGTATATCAAATTACAGGTGTAGCTTTATTTTTGAAGTAATCAGGTATAGTTTTTGGTACAGCTTTCTGGTGGAAAATATTGCTAATATTGATAGTATCTAAACCTTTATTGGCGAATTCTACTTTAAAAAAATACCTTTTTCCTCATCTTTGGAAGTAGTGGATACGGTTTTAAATAGTCTATGGTTAGCAATGTCCATGACTTTTGCAACTAATCTATACAAAACAGAATTAGAATCAATAACGGAAGTAATTTGGGCCTCTTGAAATAGTAAATAAAGTTTAGACAATGGAATGAAGTATAATTTAGTTCTGATATCATCAATTCCTTAAGGTTTATGAACGGACGATAACAGACTATCAATAGTCACGGTGTGAACAGCAGGTGGTGTATAATTTCTGTGACCATGACTTCTATTTCGTCGAGCAGAGGTGTTAAATAATTGTAATGTATTGACAGTACTACACCTGGGACTAGACAAAATACCTACACCATCAATTTTGTTATTGCATCCATAGTGAATGGCTGTTCCCAACTCTCTAATCCAAAGTCTTCTCTTTGTAACCGATATGTTGTGCAGGCGCGTAACAACCCGTACGCAAAAATGCAGTTGCGTACACATCGAAAATTTTACAAAAATAAAATTATGGTAAATCTAGTAAGAATAAAACTAAAGTAATAGATTAAATTAAAAACTATCTTACAAACATGTTAATAATCACTTTGTAGCTATATTCCGTTCCTGAAATTACGTTTTATTTACGGAACCAGCATCATGATTATGTTGCTGATGCAAACAATATAAATGGTCCTCGAGGTGTCAGAAAACAATTCTATGCCTCCTTACCAAGTCCTGACATCTTTTCTGAAGATTTCAAAATAACTGACGAAATAAAATATGTCGTTCTAAAGAGACCATGGACAACGGTTCATTCCCATGATTTTCATGTGAGATATGTATAGTCTTAATTACATACGTCGTCATAACAGATTTTTTTAAACAGTCCAGTCTGACTTAAGTTTAACGGGGTTGATAAAGGGTAATTTTCGTGCATAGTGCTTGCCGTTTTTTTTTTGTTTTTTGTTTTTTATTTTTATTTAAATTGACGATCATCGTGTTTTGACTTTTTTTTTTATTTTTTACGTTCGGTTGTGCAAGACGGGTGCCTCGTTCAAAGTGTTTCCCCAACTTAATTATACGTGCTTCGAGATTAAAAGTGCTTATTTTCCATGCTTCGAGATTTAAAGTGCTTGTATTCCATGCTTGGTAAAATTAAAAGACTATCGTTTAGGGAGTTAATAAAAAGAAATCGGAAATAATTTGATGATTTTCCTTATAGATTTGATTCATATGTCGGGACTTAAAACGTATATATTATATACTTGCCAGTTAGAGGTTTCCAACCTATGATATACGTTCATTATAGTACTTTTTTATCAACGTTCATGGACGAAATTATTTCACGTTCACCGTGAAATTGTTATTCCTTCTTTGTATTTAACGTTTTTTCCGTGCAAGTACCACCCTTTACCACCCCTTTTAACCTAAACTAACTAGCAACGAATATTCTTTTTATTTAATTTAATTAAGCTCAACCCACTACACATTAGAAAATCCAAATTCATAAGCCAACAGTACTTGTTTGTTTTTCTCTAATTAATATTTTTTTTTTCAATTTTTTTTTTCAAAAGTTGACTTGTTACTCATGAAAATAAGATTTCGGCGAGGTCATTTTAATTCCCAGGAAATTGCGAGAATGCAGGTGCAGGATTTTGCACCTTTTACCCAGAACTTGCTCCAAACCCCTGCCGTTTGACTTCCTCCTTCGGCATTGAGTACACATCATATTGGCCTAGCTACGCCCCTGTTGTGCTCAATATGGGGTCATTTGTTGAATGATCAATTTTCTCTATAATCCGGACTTTCATTGAAACAATAGAATGGTCAGGGTTATTAAAATGTTTATAGAGAAATTTGTTGTTTTTAGGATCATTTACATTAGACCGATGGTCATTCATTCTAAAATTGAGTCTCGAGTTTCCCCGACATAGATCAGTCCACAAAGAGCACATTCAATATCGTACACAATATTGGAAGCAGGACAATTCAAATTCTCATGACTGTGTGTATTGTAACTTTTGATGGTCAAGTTACTTTGAAAGCAGGTATCAGATATTAGTATATCACAGGTTTTACAGTTTTTACGGTTACATTTGGAAATAGTGAAATATTGTAAGTTGTCATTGAAATCTAAAATATCTGAAAGTTCAACAGTACAGGGCCGAATATAGTCAAACTTGTCTGTATTTTTATAGTACAACGAAGAATCAGAAGACTGCGCATGTGTCGTTTTTATTACATCCTTTAAGATGATCCTGGGGACACCTGATTTTTCGGTGTTGTTGTGTCCTTGACAACATCCGATCGACACCTTTTTATCCTGGGCGACGTGTCATCCAATCAGGAACCTGTTGTTCAGTGGTTGTCGTTTGTTGATATTGTTCATAATTGTTTCTCGTTTTTTTATATAGATTAGACCGTTGGTCTTCCTGTTTGAATTGTTTTACACTAGTAATTTTGGGGCCCTTTATAGCTTGCTGTTCGGGGTAAGCCAAGGCTCCGTGTTGACGGCCGTACTTTGACCTACAATTGTTTACCTTTTACACATTGTGAATTGGATGGAGAGTTGTCTCATTGGCACTCATAGCACATCTTCTTATTTCTAAGTCATAGTCGTACCACAACTCTTTTGATAAAAAATATGATCAAGTAAAATATTTGGAGATGAACGTACACTTGGCAACAAAAAACGCAGATTTCTGACGTTTTTGCACATTATAGGACACGGCATGACTTGATGAAATAGACACAGATTCGAAAAATGAAAGAAAATAGAGAGGTAACGTCTATGACGCAATATAGGATGAGATATGGAGTTGATAGAAGCACACATACTTGAGGTTAAACATAGATGACTCTTACATTTTTAAATGAAAAATATAATATTGTGCCTCTCTTAAGACAATGAATCTTAATATTAAGTGACAACAAAATTTTCTTATTCAAATTTAAAGAAGATGAAATGCTTCCGAATTTATGCACACAGTGAAGAGGTATTTGGAATATTAGACATTTTCTTCTCGTCCTGCTTCAAAAGAGCAAAATATGCAATGGGACGACTTGTGACAACATTAAATCCCGTCAAAAATCACCACTCTATGTAGTTGCTTTAATCTGCATTTCTGGTGGTTACAAGTGATCGACCAGCCTTTATCTTCATGATTGACTGAAACACATGCATGCATTCCATTAACTGGCGTACACTGGAGCCAGCTTTTATATGACAGTTCCCTATGACACTGACTAAATTATGAATAAAATCTATCATTAATCAAAATTAAAACAAAAACCTTAAGCTCAAATTTTTATTGATAGAATGTACAAACATCGTTCATTCTAAATCTAAAAATACAAAATAAAAAGTAAATATATACATGAAGATTTTTGTCTCTCATGATCAGGTATCAACTATTATGCAAACTAACAAACTCATTTGAATAGAATAATGGTTATATCTCATTTCAACAGACACATTAAACTGTTACACAATCGTTTTTCTCCATGGCTGTTGCTTCAAACGTTTTGACATTAGTCACAGTACATTTAAAAATTTGTATCAATATTATATAAAATTTTAAAAATCAAATGTTTATTTCCATATAGAATTTAAACAGTAAGTTTGTGACAAGTACAAAATAAGTATACAATATAACTGAAAATTCACACATATATACACAATCATTTGATTACAGAGTCATTGTCCTAAGTTCTAATACTTTTTAATGTAGGACACCAATTTATTTACTTTTGATGGATTGACAATAAAAATCACCTTTTCTTCAGTACACAAATCTTGAACAGAGTTCTCATGTTTCCAAATTACAAAAAAGTTGTTTTTCAGTTCACTATTTAATTCCCAATATAATAAAAAAAAGTCTATATCTTATCTGTACCAGTCAGGAATATGACAGTTGTTTTCCATTCGTTTGATGTGTTTGAGTTTTTGATTTTTCCATTAGATAAAGGACTTTCCGTTTTGAATTTTCCTTAGATCTTTATTTTTCCTTTATCTTACTTTTTATACAGACGTAAGTTTCCTAAGCTGGACCAAGTTAGATATCAAACCTACATACCATCCTCACAATAAATGCAAAAACGTTACCAGAGGTTAGTCTCCACGAAGCATCACAAATTTCTTCTATTAAAAATTTCCATTATAAAACTAGTCAGATTTAAGGAAATTGGATTAGTTAGATTTAAAATGTTAATTTCAATTATTTTTTTAAACCATCTAACCTAATGAACATTACTTAATTAGGCAATATCATTTAGTTCACAACATATAAGTAAGTATTCTCCATAACATTCTATACACAATTCTGGTATACCGTCGTTGACTTTCTCCATTCGCTTTCTTTTGTTTTGTTTTGTTTTGTTTTGTTCAATTTTTCATTTTAAAATTATATATGTTTCAATCATGTTTTAAATTTTAAATATTGTGGATCCATAAAACATCCTCCCCTACCAATATGAAAAAATCTAAAAACAACAGGCAACTAATATTTAATATTTAACACTCTCATCTGTACGGTTAAAGGATTTCCACTGCAATTCATAGTTTTAGTACACCATAAGGAGGTACGGATTAGTATAAACATTTGTGAATTGCGTAAGATTTCCAAACTAATTTCGAACTAACATAAACATATATGCGATCTTTCACCACTTTCATTTGTGTTTAAATGATTTGGGAGTCAGTTTCGCATGTGCAATAAGGTTTATTTTAATGATCATTAGATAGGCGAACCAAAGTGTGAATCCAAGAAAGGCCTATGTTTCATGCCTTAAGCTTGAATTCTTCATTATCATTATTGTATATAATTTTCAGTTTACACAAAAGTTCGCCCAATAAGAAAATAGGTTTTTGATATTGATTCCTTTTTCGCTTTTCATTGTAAAATAGGTTGATTATAAGTGCCAAAATGTTTGCTTTGTGATAATGGATTTCGGAAAAGTGGAATTAGACATAACAATTTATTGTCTTTTGTTTCGTTAGCCTCAGTGGATATCCTTTTTTTTTAAAAAGTCAATAAAACCACATATTCATCTCATCAAAAGACAGTAATTGTTTAATATCATATGAAAAAAAATGATAGAAAAATAAAAGTTTTAATCCTACTTTTTTCTGTGTTCTTGTTTTTTTCTCTCTAAGATTTAATCATTTGAATGTATTCACTAGATAAGACAATAGTTCAGGTTACAATATTGATAAATTTAATTATTCAAAATTTATTTCATGAAAGGATTCATTAATTTCAGAATAATACACTCTTAAAAACCTCTTAATTTATGGACATTTTAAAGGGGTCATTTATTATTGCAATAAATATATTGTGATCAATATCTTTTTTTTCAAGAATCATGTGTCTTCAAAGAAAATGTCATTTTGAGCATAAAATTAAACGTATGACACTACGAGAGGGAGCACCTCTTATGTAATAAGTGGTTGTGAAGATCTGCTAGAATAGGTAACTTTTTTGAGCTTAAAAATATATGACAGGTTGAGAAATTAAGTTGAAATATATCATATATATAGGGTTGTTGATTATATCAAAAGTTTCTGAAACTAATCAGATTTCGATACTTTTCACAGATGCATTTAAAACCATAGTCGGAAATACATTAAATATTCGTCAAATCTATTTTTCTCTCCAGCGTAATCTTGATAGCTACACTATTTGTCAAATACATGAAAGGGTATGTTTTTTTGTTATTCAAAATATATGAAAAGGTTGGATACAGGATGTCGAAGATGCTCATCTCTACCAAAAAAAAAAAAAATATTGAAGTGCCCCTCCCTACCCCGATTTATGACCACTTCAACGGATTCTTGTCAGACTTAAATATATCTATATATATATCACAGTTTATAAATATTGATTAATTTATGACATCTTTTTTGGTGGTCTAGGTGGCAGTTTGTACGATGGGGTTGCTGGTTTATGTGTTGTGTTACTCGGAAGTGGAGCTGGTGCCCTTTTTGACATCGGACTAGGTAGTGGTGGTTTATTTCCATTGTTTTGATCATTATTTGTAGGTATATTAGGAAGAGGCCGACCGACAGATCGTGGAGGTCGTTGTTCTCTGGAAGAGGCAGGTTTGCCAATATCGGAATCTGGCAACGGAAGAGGTGGTCTATTTCTACTTGGAGGAGGTGGCGTTCCGGGTTTGAAGGTATCTGACGTCCGTGGAGGTAATATCGGAGATTCTTCTTCTTCTTTTTTGACTTTTTGCAAAAACTGGTCTTTCAGGGATATTCGTTTTTCTGCACTCTAAGAAAAACAAAATTGATACATTGTAATCTTCATTTTAAAATATAAATTAGTTATAATTTTTACGTAAGCTAATTTTGCTATGGCTCAAAATATTTCGTACTTAAGGAATTTATGTCTCCCGCTTTCCATGGCTTTTTACCGTCACTCTATTTAGACCACATTTCATAACCATGCTAACATTCCCCCTCCTACTCCTGTAAACCCTTTCCCAAATTTTTGGGTTATTTATTCCCATGGCTCGTCACCTTCGTCCTTTCCACGGAAATGTTATCCATGAAATTGTTTAATTTTTATCTTTGATTTGTGGTCTATAGTATGTAGATTAAACGACAAGGCTTATGTTGATCGCCCATTGTTATATATCCTTTTTGTTATTCACAAACAGAAATACCAAGGGGACGACTGAGTACAAAATAAGTTGTTTAACCCCGATCCATGTTTATGTGCCGATCGAAGGTTAGGCAGGTCCTCAGTAGTAGTCTTGGTTTTAATAAAAGTGTTCTCGTGTCATTTAAAGAATTTTTTTTTGTGGTATCATTTACAACTATTTTATAATGCATATATTAACGCCATTATAGACTATTGTAGTTCAGTTTGGGGAAATTTATTACAAAAAGATTCAGATAGAAAAAGAGTAGCAAGAATAATACTGAATAGGATATTTCTGTTCCATCAAATTTTATGTTTTCTGCTTTTAAATGGCGACCCTTTACAGAAAGAGAAACAAAAACAACAATCAATTCTAATGTATAAAATTGTAAATGAACAACCACCTGCTTAATTATCAATGCTAATTAATAATGATGTTCAACACTACAACTTACGATCTGTCTCTACTAACGATCTATTTGTTCCAAGACCAAATACTAATTTGTATAAAAAAATCTTTTCATTGATATATAGGTGTCAGTTGTTTTGTTTTTGACGTTATATTGTTTTATCGTTAATTTTATGCCCACAATCTCGTTTTATTTTTATATATGTTATATTTGAATCACTTGCAACTGTAAGATTTTTATTAGTCATTCTAAATATAAATGGAAGTGAGATAGATAAAATAGCAAGCAATATGCATACTAAAGAAAAAAAGAAAAGAAAGAAAAGCCGAAAAATACCAACTATACAGACAATTCAAAAAATCAAAAAAAGATTAAAGAAATGGTAAAGTCGACAAAAAGGGATGATTTTTCTTTCCCTATTGTGATTTTTTTTTTTTTTTTTGGATGGCGATGTTCCTTTGGCACCATCTTACGGTGTTTATATATCACACCAATTTTTGATTTAAGAGAGAATACCAAAATTTTATATGAGGATAATTCATGCAAATGTTTGATTTTTTTTGTGCAATTGGAAGAATTGGAGAAAAGGTTCACAAATTTTTAATCTTTAAAAAGGATATCACAATAATTATTCCTATTGAATATCAAAACATTTCACATAGCAGCTTACAAAGAATAGAATTTGAAAATTTACCAATCGGAATCCCTTGAAATTATTTTTTATAGACTAGCAAAGAAGTATTAGAAAAAATAAATTAAAAATGCTTATTTTTAAGATCTACTTAGACCCTGTATGATACATAATTTCAAAGCTTGTTCGATCACACCCCAAGATATCGTATCTTATGTCGTAACTACAATACCCTTCCCTTTTCACCAATATGACCTATCGAATTAGACTATTTAACGGATTTGTAATAACATAAGCAACACGACGGGTGCCACATGTGGAGCAGGATCTGCTTACCCTTCCGGAGCACCTGAGATCACCCCCAGTTTTTGGTGGGGTTCGTGTTGCTTAGACTTCAGTTTTCTATGTTGTGTCACCTGTACTATTATTTGTCTGTTTGTCTTTTTTTAATTTTGGCCATGGCGTTGTCAGTTTGTTTTTGATCTATGAGTTTGAATGTCCCTCTGGTATCTTTAGTTTCTCTTCTTTAATAAATAAATATAGTCGATCGTTTCAATAAATTGATAAAACAATATTGTCTTTTCAGATAGATATTTGAACATTGACAAGCAAGAATAAAAAAAATCGAAATAAGTCATTTATTATGTTAAATACGAACGAAATTATGGCTTTTCATCAATGACATTTTAAGCATTATTTTTTTCTACATAATGACTCATCAGTAACGCTCAAATCAAAACAATTGGAAAACCAAATCAAATAGAAAGAAGAAAAGCATTAATAACCGAAAATTCCAAAAGGTTGTGTCAAATACGGCTAAGGCAATCTTCACCTGGGGGTAGAAAACCTTAGTGTTTTATAAAACGATAAATAGCAATCATCTATTAATTGACATAGCTTCTTCCTTATTGCTTTCACATAAAATATACATAGTGAACCGACAGAAAACATGCAACACATAAAACAGCACATTTTAAAAGTTTGTTAGTGAGGTTGTAAGCACAATTTCCACTAAACTAAAAATGGTTCCAGCTCTTTTCATAATGCTAGCAAGACAAAGGTTTGTTTGACTTGCTTGCTTTGTTTGTATCAATGTTAGCTCAAGCATTGTAATTAAGATTGACATCTGCAAACAATATAAGTAGGCGGAGTTAAACCTGTGTATAGGTAAATGTGATTATTTGATAATGTCCAATCAAATTTAAATATAATGTATACAAGTTTAAATCCGCCTTTTTATGTTGTTTTCAGATGTCAATCTTAATTACAATGCTTGAGCAAACATTGATACAAACAAAGCAAGCAAGCCAAACAAACCTTTGTCTTGCTAGCATTATGAAAAGAGCTGTAATAATTTGCAAGGCATTCCAAAACAATATATAGAGAGGCAACTAAACAAAGTTCTAGCAAATGTGGCCTGTATTGGAAATATGTACTGACTTATAGAAAAATGGATGCTTATAGCCAGTAAATTAGTTTTGAACGAGGAGTGGTCAGTCACAAATTGCAAGTTTACATATATATACAAGGTTTTAGGTTTTATATTTAATTGAATAGAATCAATGCAAATCCTACGTCGGACTTACTGCTGAAAAATAAGAATTACCTCTAAATAATATATCTGTACACTGTATATATGTATATGTTCATGGTCACAGGAAGCACATGAAGCATGCCATGACACATAAATATATAGCAAATGAACTAATACACACAAATAATAGTCTTCAGTATTATTTGTAAAGCAAGTGCTAACTATTTCAATTAGGATGGTTAAATAACACTCGGGCTATAATATATTGAAATGCAAATCATATACGTACTCTGCGGATGTTTAAAATCTGTTAGAACAAACAATGAAAATTAAAAGGGCATAACAATACTATTTAGGATATGAGAATCTACGCAAACATGAAAATTTGCATTTGAAAAGGAAAGAAAAGCCAGTTTACTTTAAACATATTTTCTCAAAGCGAAAAGGACCAAACACATGAAAACCGCTTATGTCTTCTCTACAGTACAATATATATATATATATAACAATGAAAAATTAAGTGAGCATGCATTATAACATATGAATAACATTTATATTACAAACCTGAATTGAACATAGAAAAGGTGATAAAAACGAACGATCGATGATGATGACAATGTGTGTTTAACATATATAGATATAAGAAGATGTGGTATGAGTGCCAATGAGACAACTCTCCAAGTCACAATTTGTAAAAGTAAACCATTATAGGTAAAAGTACGGTCTTCAACACAGAGGCTATGTTAATATCATACCACCATGAATCTTTCTGATACCTTTATAAAGTGTAAAACTTGTTTGAAAACTTGAACATTTTCGTCATAGAAAAGATTATATTTTCCCAAAAGCAAAAGTGCTGTATCTAAATTGCAGCTTCCAGGAAGCCAACTTAGACTATTAAATATGATAGTTCTTTTGTTTAAATTAAAGGAAATCAAAAGGCGTTTATCATCTCTACCGATCCATATTGACATTTTGCATCAGATATAATATCAGCCCAATGTAAATCATATATTGTAAATGAATTTTAGTCTGAAACGGTCATTTTGATCATAACAGGATCCGAAAAAGTCTGAATAATAAATTATTCAGGCATGTTGAGCTTTTCAGTCTATATCCACTGCGGTGTACTGTTCAGACAATTCGCTTGTAATCAATTCAGTACTGTAGTCAGCAACATTTTATTAAAATAAATTACCTCTTTTGGTTCAGATTGTCGTCTCTGTACTTCATATACTGGTGTGTCCTACAAAACAAATATTTTCAATTTCGTAGAGATGTTTTGTGTTAGGGTAAATGATTTGCACTTATACGAATAGATTCTGATAGTGAAATAATAAAAAGCAAACAACATTGCTATTTTTTCACCGTGTCCCCTTATATTGTACAATTGGAGATGTTTATGATTGATCTTAATGTTGATTATTGGTTGAGAATTGTATTTATTTTATCTTGAAACTGATTGGTTTGCAAGAACATGCAAGTACTCTCAACTAAAACAAGCACTTTAATAAATACAATGAAAAATAATATTATATTCAAGATATTGTTACATATGGAAGAATGAATTTCTTCGAAATATAAACAAAATATACTTAACAATATCGATTATTCAAACTAAACCAAGTTTTAAGTCGTTTTTATGACCCTCAGAGAATTTATTTTATAAAATCAAGAATAGGAATTCGTACATTTGAAAAAGAGAGGGATTTTCTTTAATACCATATTAATATATAGGATATGGAACCTTTGTTACGAGAATAAAGAAGATGAGATGCAAAAATTCACCTTTTTTGTGTCATATTTTTTTTTAGCAAAAATCAGCTAGAAAAGACAGGATAAAGATACTAAAGGGATATTTAAACTCATGATATCAAAACAAACTGACAATGCCATGGCAAAACACGAAAAAAGACGAAAAGACAAACAACAGTACACAAAACACAACATGGAAGACTGAGCACCGCAAACCCCACAAAATAAAAAAACGAAATCACAAATCTCTTATTAATTGGTTGATGAGCAATGAAGACAAAAATCATTCACAATTGGTTCTCAATTATAAGAAAGTTTAAATGTAAGGATACAGAGATATTATATCTAGTAAGATTATCACATACCTCTGAATGTTTAGATATATCTACACAGCACTGTATTTGAAATAAAAAATAAATAAATGTGTACTGCCTATTCATTTACTTTCAAATCAAATGTTAATCAACCAAATCAACAACAAATCGTGATTTATTTTGTTTAATTACAAACTTTTACAAAAATTATGTTTGATAATTAAGATAGTTGTCATTCTGCTGGTCCTGTGTGCTCTCAGTGACAAGTTAAATATGTTTTGTTGTTCTTTGTATTACTACGGTTCTCATCCTTCTTAACTTGACCAATTGACTTTTAGTTAGCAACTAACAATTGATCTATATTAATTTGATATAAAATGATGACATATATGTTAGATAAGATTTACACGTTCTGTGTATTGGCAAATATCATGTCGTTGCTATGGACTGAGATATTCCTACCAAATCTAACTCTTTTTGTGATGTTAGATTTACAAACGTTTTGAAATTCATTTTTACGTTGAGTCGGAGATCGAAAGACTGAATGAATCAAAGACAAGCATTCAAGATAAAGGAATCTCATCGGGTGCATGGATTTAATCGGTCGTTTACCTGACTTATATGCGAATTTATACGTGAAATTACCAAGATTCACTACCCAAACAGCTTCCCACTACTGTATGATATGTAAAAAATTAAAGATAACATGTTTAAAATTAAGCACGTCAGACGCTCGCTTCGTCTACATAAAACTCATCAGAGGTGATCGATTTAACAGTTGAAAAGCAAAATTAAATACGAAGTTGAAGAGCATCAAAAATCGAAAATTCCGAAAAGTTTGTTCCAAATACGTCTAAGACAATCCATGCCTGCGGTAGATAAACCTTAGTGTTCTGAATAATTCAATATTTTATAAAAAGTAAACTGTACTTACATCAATACCATCACTATCAGATGCACTCTCCTCATGCATGCTTCCTAAACTGCTATCTCTCCAAGATTGGGTACTCATTGTACTGCCTCTTGATCCTCCACTTGATGAGCCTGAACCGAAAAATTGTTTTTAAAGGTTTATTCAATAAAATGTTTCCTAAAAATTTGTTTCTTTGTTCCCAGGAAAAAGAAATTGTATATTGAAGCTTTTGAAAAGTAGTGGAGCATTTCGGTAAAAAAATCTTTTCAGTTAAAGACAAAACCATACTACATGCTATTAAACAACTGTTTATCTTCAACAAATACTTACTTGAATTACTTATAGTGCTATCCCGTCCTGGGGTGTGTGTCTTACCATCCCTGCCGACAGAAGGATGCTTAAAATATAATTATCTTGAGTTAAAACATTTAAGAAACTGTTTGAACAGAGATATGTCTCGCCTTTTTGTTATTTTGATAGTAAAATGCAAATGTTGAAATTTAAATAGCAGTATTTTAACATGTGAGTTGTGCATAATATTCAGTCTATGAACTCTGACTAAAGGTACAGGGCCAAAAAATCTCCATGGAAATGAGATATACCAATGCTAAAACATATGCTTACCAAATGTCATTGACCTACCACTACTGGTTCCCCAATAACCTACCTAATCACAAACTAATACATGAAAACTAAGCAAAAGTTTCAAAGTCAATAGACCAGGACTGAGGGGGCGGGGCAAAATAATTACCATGGAAATGAGATATGCCAATGCTTATATAACTGCATCAACAAATCGTGATTTATTTTGTTTAATTACAAACTTTTTTTTAATCTCCTTGGAAATGAGATGTTCCAATGCTAATACAACTGCATACCAAATATCATTTATCTACCACTTGTGGTTCCCCATAAACTGACTTAATCACAAACTAATACATGTAAACTAAGCAAAAGTTTCAAAGTCAATAGACCAGGACTATAATTACCATTGAAATGAGATATGCCAATGCTTATATAAACTGCATACCAAATATCATTGACCTACCACTAGTGGTTCCCCACAAAACTGACCTAATAACAAAGTAAAACATTGTCGACGACGCCGTCGCCGGAAAGAGCATTCCTATGTCTCGCCTTTTGACTCCGTCAAGGCGAAACAAAACCACATACAACACAAACATCTTGTAACAGACATATTATCTCACAGCATCAATTTTCCCTGATTTATAATAAGTAAAAAAAATCCCCGAAAAATACAGATACTTCTCCATTGTAATTGAATTAATAAAGTAGCTGTAGACATATGTAAGGTTGATATGAGACGGATGTAAAATTTATGAATCATTTTACAACAACTGAATAGAAAAATCAATGTTTCATGAAAATTAATACAATTTCTAATTCAAGACTAAATATTTCTATCTTACCGTGATTTGCATTACATATATTTCCTCTGCTTGAGTTTTTTTTCTTGGAGAAACTTTCTGTTTTAATTTGGTAAAAATACTTTGTCGCTGTTGCAGTTGCTTTTCCGGTTTAAAGACTGTTTGGTACTGGTTTCTGAGTTCTTCAATTGCCTGTTGTCGCTCTTTCAGCGATTTCGATTGGGCAGCCTTATTTCTATCCACCCACGAAGAATACAGCCTTTCAGCTTCGTCTACTGTAAACTCACCATTCTTCACGGCATTGCCAATTTCTATTAGTTCATCATGAGTTGAAGATCCTAATGTTGATGCTGTTTGAATAGCTATTTTAACAGATGGATAACAAAATCAGGCAAACAAAGTATTTATTCTGAAATGTATTACAATTGCACTATAAAGGCTTCCAACAATAACGTTGAAATACTTTATTTGAAAGGCATCTTTCACATACTTATCATATTCAAATTAAATTCAAGAATTTAGCTGTCTTCAAAAGTTAATAAATTAATTAAAACATCATTCTGTTCATGCTTAAACAAATAGTTTTTCACTCAAATCAAGTAATTGGATTTTTCACAATAATTATTGATCGGGCTAGTAATTTTTGTTAATGATTAGTAAAAACGGGTAATTAGTGGAAATTTCAATTGGGCAGTTTTAATAATTTTGAGAAGTCATATTTGTATTTCAAATAATAAGTTATAACAAGTAATATTTTAAGAGATTCCAACTAATATCGTTTTGATAACGTTTAGTTGATTGAAGCAATGTTAATATTCATTTTAAATAATTAAAAGTATTTTCATAAGTATTCATAAGTAATAACGAGTCATATTACAAACAGTCCGAAGTAATAACCCAATTAAATGTGAGCAATTGACAGTAAAAGTGTAGCCTTTTGATTAGGTCCATACCGATGAAAGTATATAGACTTAGGAAGCAATCCGAAATACATGTTGCTTTCCGTGCCAGTACTCTTTTAGTGCATTTGTCCCTTCTAAATATGCATGTGAAAATGAAAATGTGCAAGTCTTTCGTTCACCTAAGCATTGTTAAAAATTTCTAGGTCAAATCTTAATGATTTCCTGCCATTCTTTGATGCAGTTAACCGAAATCAAACGACAACTTGATTCTGTTTGGCTGAACTTCCCTTCCCAATCAACCTCAAATAAAATACGAAATATTTATAGTTTTGTGTAGTGATATAAAGCCATATAGTCAATACCTATCTATTTCAAGTAAGACATAGACAAAAAATGTTTTTATGATAAAAATATGATTAACATATAGCTGCTTTCCAATAATTTTAAATTCTAATAATCCAAAATAAATACAAGTAATCATTTAATTTATTCAATGTAATTACTAAGTAGTCGAAAGAAATAAAAAATGTGTACTTTATGTACTTCCAAGTCATATTTTTTTGGAAATTGCAAGTAATCTAAAACTTGTGAACATCACTGGCACCTGCATGTAATTAAGGTAGGAAGTTAGTTTTCAATGTTAATTGCCTACACGTGTGTACAACTACTTATTGTATGTGTCCTGACATCAATACTCTCAATAGATGTTCGTTCACCTGAAAACCCACCTGATCAAAGTACTCCATTACCTAGTTTCTCTATGTTTGAATTCAGGTTTGTTTAGTTGCAATCTATTTTATAAACATAAATGCTTGATTGTACTTTTGAATTGAACATACATTTTCAATTTTGATTAATAAAATAAGTCATCTTAAAAACACATTCATGATCACAATAATCTCGTATGTTCCAGTGTTACAATGTGTATTTATTCAATACAGTACATATTTTCTAACTCTAACAATTCATTTAGACCGCAAGGCAATGACATAGAAAGAAAACAATATTTGTCATTAGAAAGGGTTCTTAAATAACGAAAAGTGTAATTTTGGCTTTACCATGTGAATACATAATAGTGATTCCTCGCTCATTCGATGAGGGTAAATCCATGAAAGGCCTTTGGATGCATGAAATTTTAAAAGTTATTTTCAAATACTAGTCAATACCCCTGCTGGTTGGTGGTCTATTAGTTCTCGATTGGATCAGCATGTCAGTAGTCAGTGATTAGGTACTGACATGATTTATAACATACTATTCTAAAATTTCTCGTTGACGAATTACGAAAACAATTAAAGAAACTAACTTTCCAATTCCATCAAGCTAAGTTGACCTTAGATGAATTTAGCCATACTTTTTAGGTCCCGTTTGTTCATATCGCTCCGAACGTGTCCACGTATTTATACATCTCTATCTTTCAAATGTTTTGGTTTTAGTGTTCTTGATTAATGTAAACCCAGAAAGCGCTTCGGGCGCACAAAAGGAGAAGATATGATGATAAGATTCTTTTTACCCTTGAATTCGAAAATCCAAAAGAATTATAAATCAACCAGATACTACCCTTAAGCTGCTCATATAACTTTAGACTGTCGGACATCAGTATTTATATTTTTGAATTATGGCTTTTATATTGCGGCTTCAAACGTTTTACATTTAGTGCAAAACATCAAAACTGACAACATAGCCTCATTTTGAAATAAGCGACAGCTTGACCCAAAACGATACTATACTACAAATTTTATTTGACATATTTACAAAATATGTGCGAAATATCTTCCTGGGTCAAGCTGTTGCTCATACATATTTTTTGTCCAAAAACTTTGCGTGTAATGGCAGTTTTTAGTCAAATACGTAAATTTCGTTATGTTTCTGACGTCATTGTGACATCGCAAGGGACCTTTTTGCACTAAAGTATTCAGATTATACATGTTACATTATCGAGTTTGTTTATCAATAAAATAAACATATATTAAAAGGTTTAAAATTTAGCTTTTTTGCAATTTCAGGGACCAAATAATAGCTCTTATCATACCGCCTCCTTTATGAGGTATTGATTTTTTAAATATCCCTGTTTTGTCTTCACTTTTCTCTGTTTGGCTACATCGGAAAAGTCATTTCTCTCTAATATTCTGAAGTATGGAGACCCCTGATAAATTTTCATGGAAAGATTATAAGATGATGAAACCGAGCATGCAAACATGGCCCCAACAAAATAACCGCGACGAAAGCAAGTTCTACTGAAGGGTGAGCAGTTTCTGTATCATGCTAGACATTAGCATGTTTCATTAGAAGGTCATGCTCGGGACGGAAGGAAAGGAGGAAGGTCAGTTGTCTTTCAGAAAACTAAAGACCTCAACCTTGTGGCCAATACTAGTATGCTCCTGTTTTTGAGATGTTTTTGTATAATAAAGAAAACAATATTTTTGAAACTATCTGAAATAAATTTTCTATGATTTGATTCTGAGAGGGCAAATGTGTTTGACATTACATGCATTGGTAAAAACATTTAGGGTACCAACTAACTTGCAACAGATGCCCAAATCGACAATAATGAAAAATATTTCTTATACAAACATTAAAAAGCAGATAAAACAAAAAAGGACCATAAGTAAAGCCAAACTCGGACAAGGGATCAGAGGTATGTATGAGAAAGATACATTCTTTAATTTAAAGATTTCAAACATTTTCAATACATTGCATCACTATCTGACATTATAAGATTACAAATCACTTGCCATGGTATTCTATATTTGGCATGTCATTTAGGAAAAGAAGTATACAATGAGACACCATAAAGCAACGAGTTACTTATACTGCAAACAGCTATCAATCCAAGTGGAAATGAAATGTGAATGATATAAATTCATATTATAAGTAGTAAAATGACCAAGTAAAGTTGTAGTCACTATTAGTAAACTCCAAGTAATTACCTAAGCTAAATCAAGTTAAATGATCTAGTAATCATTAAAAACCAAACGAAGTAATAAGGAATTTTTTTTGTAGTAATCAAAAGTTGTATCAGTCACTTGAAAACTTGCATGTTAAGGACAAGTAAGTCATTGTTAGAATATTTCAAAGTAATACATTTACTAAATATGTTTTTTGAATGCATTCGTGGTCGATCCAGTCTGTAGTCGTAATTTCAGTAGCTATTCGTTTTAACCCATATTTTAAAACTGGTTTGACATTTGCTAGTTCAATCTTACAATACGGTATAATTTCAGATCAGACGACTATACTGGTATTTAAAGATATAAGACCGCAAAATATCACACTAGTTGAGACACCGACATGTCGAATCGATGAATTTGTGATAGTGACCGTTTGAATGTCCGTTAGGTATCCTTCGCCTCTCTTTCCTATATGAGTTCTGCTTCATATGATAAAATGGAGAATGGAAATGGGGAATGCGTCAAAGAGACAACAACCTAACCAAATAGCATAAAACAGCCAAAGGCCACAAATGAGTCTTCAACACAGCGAAAAAATCCCGCACCCGGAAGCTGGCTTCAGCTGGCCACTTAACAAAAATGTGTACTAGTTCAGTGAAAATGGACGTCACACTAAACTCCGAGGCATATAAATGAACTAAAATTTAAAAAAACGTACAAGACTAACAAAGGCCAGAGTTTGGACAGGCGCAAAAATGCGGCTGGGTTAAACATGTTTTGTGAGATCTCAACCCTCCTCCTATACCTCTGGCCAATGTAGAATAAACAAACACACAGTAATACGCACAGTAAAGCTCAGTTTAAAAGAAGTCCGAGTCCAATGTCAGAATAGGTAACAGAAGAAACTTAGCAAAATGACAATGATACATAAATTAACAATGGACTACTAGCTGTTACTGACATGCCAGCTCCAGACCTCAATTAAACTGATTGAAAGATTATGTCTTCATCATTTGAAAATTAAGCACAATCCCTCCCATTAGAGGTTTAGTATCATTCCATCATAAATTATATGAGAAGAACATAACCCGTATCATGCCAATAACTGGTTTTAGAAAAAATGTGTTTATTTCCGATGCAAACACCCGATGAGTGAATCAATATTAATTCCAAAATATGCAATCTTCAATGACCTGACAACAGTATAGTAACTATATCACTTCTGAATAAGTCTTTTTAAAGGTTTGGTTAGCTATTGATGTTAATGACGACATTTTTGTGCTTTGTATAGAATATTACCATAAAAGAGTATTAAAACAAATCGGTCAGTAGATGTACACAATAAGTACCCATTGGTATGCTGAAATATCCATCCTCCAAATTAACAAATATGTTGTCGATCAAAAAGTCCAGAATTTTGATGAATTCGTCTTCTGTGTATTTGTTGTGGGAATCAGTGTGAATCTTCACAAAGTAGTTTTTTTCATGACCCTAATCAAGAAATTCGTATCTACGATTCTCAATTTTGTCTCGCTTGCGACGAAAGTCGCAAATGCGATACATAATGTGAAGGCGGCACCGTCGACAACGTAAACTTTGTGGATAAAGCTTTATATTTCCAAAGATAGAAGGTATGGATTAATCATATATGCAGACGTTTAGAGATGCCTTATGTTACGAAATTTCGGGATGTCACATGTCTACTGTCATTGACCTCATTTCCATGGTTTAGTAACTGCTTGAAAAAAAATGTAGATTTTTTTGTAAAGTGAAATACTCACTTATTATGAATAAAAGGATAATTATATTTGGTATACCGGTATGGGAACCTTGCAAGGTCTACATACCCGTCGATAGGTCAACTATATATCGTCTACGGAAAGATCTGAAAGTGTACATATCCGGTTGGAAGGTTTCATCTGACCTTAACTTCATTGTGATGGTTCATTGGTCACTGTTTTTTAATTTTTATTTTATCTTTTTGTCAGGTATTCTAAGCAATGAGGTCACTGTATTTGATGCATGGAATGATTGTAAGGTGTACATGTCAGTCTGGCAGGTTCCATTTAACCTTGGCCTCATTTTTAAGGTTCATTGGTCAGAAACCCATGTTCTCGTTGACCATCGTAAATTTTGAATGAGCTTTTGAAAAATTGGACCTTTTAGCCGACTTTGTATGTCAAAAATTTTGTCCGAGGAAGATATTGACATCAAATTCACCGCCTGTAAGTATGGAACTATTGCTATCACAAGATAATATTTGCAGAGAAAATGAACAATGTAAGATCAACGTTCACCCCTCAGGATCAGTTATGTTTCTGAGAATAAACTTAAATTGTCCATTTCAATACAGCAAGGATTGGTTTGTTATTTTTGCTCTTTTTTGGAAACGCAAGATTTTCCAGTATTTTCTTTGAGGAAATGATTTTAAAACTAGCTGACTTCGAAGTCTATAATACTTCTTAGAAATATGAATTTTTACCTTTTAACATGTTTATAATGAAATGAGTTAGTTATCAACTATTTGGCGCGTAAAATGTGGATGAAATGGATATTTGGGGCAAAACGGGTTCCATTCTATTTTCTATTTGAGATGAATGCTTTGGAAATTTTAGAAATCAAACAATTATGTCATTGGACACCTTTTTATCAGCAAGTCATTAAATTGGTTTCAGGGAGTGAAAACATGTCTTTTTCTTTTCCGTCGAATTCGACTTACAAATATAAAATCAACACGAGTTGAATTAATGTATACTTAGAATAATAAAACACTGTAGGCAATTGTCACTTTTCAACATAAGCAATAAGACGAGCATAGAATTTCTCCCTGTCCGATTTGACCCATATGCTGCACACATATTGGCTTTAGACATGTTTGTCGGCGGCATTATAAGACACTTATTTTGAAACTATACCCATGGATGAATTAGACCAAATTTGGTTCAACTGTTTAAGTGGGATCATGTTTAAACATGATTTATAACAAACTTTTCTAAATTTGTCCGTTTATAGATTTTGAAATTATAAAGAAACTAAGGTTTCAACTCCCTCAGGCAAAGTTGACCTTAGATGAATTTGGCTATTTGTTTTAGGTATTTTTGTCGTATAGCTCTTCAACTGTTTCGGTACTTATACATCTCTCGGATTTCAAATGTTTGGCATTGAACGTTCCTTATGAAGGTAATCCAGAAAAGCGCTTCGGACGCATGGAATTATTAAACGTGTTGTTTCCAATTTTTTAAAGATGTGTTCAATTGTATCCATACAAATGTGACAGTAAAAATTTCGGTTGAACTTTTAACCTACCATGTGAAAAATATGAACTAATGAGGAAGATACTAGAGGGATATTCAAACTCACAAGTCGACGACAAACCTACAATGCCATTGTAAAAAACCCAAACCCAAGCCAAAACAACGAAAAAAAAACAGACATTAAACAAAACAAAACAAAAGACTTAGCAACACAAACCCCACCTGTGTCACCCGTCGTGTTACCCATTTAAGTACAAAATAGGTGAAAATTCTAATTCAGTAATGTCACATACGAGGAAAAGTGGATGGGACTATGGTACCGATAATTAAAACATATCCGTCATCATCTGTTAAACAGATATTCCATAACGGTCAAACTTGTGATGATATCTGTAAAATTTTCGAAGAGATAACTTCAACTTCATCACTTACGCACTTGGTTTAATAGCTTTATTGTACTCAGTATCCCTCTCTCATATCTTTTGTCGTAAAGTTTTGTTCTCGACAGACCCTCATTGTCAATTTCTAGATGAAAGTCAAGACATCAGGCACACTTAACTGTATATGTATGGTTTATTCAATAAAGCATGAATCCTACATTAAGTCCGACATATAATTGCTTCCGTCAAAAGTCAGGAACCTAGTCTGTTGTTGTCTTCGTTGATATCTTATCTTGTCCATTTAAGAAATGTGTGTTAATGGCATTGTGATCTTAAAAACCATCTGGTTGCCCGATCAAGAACCGCGTAGATTCGGGAGGCCCCTCATGGGGGTGTCCAAGTAATCACATAATCACAATTTTTTTGCCAATATAATCACATAATCATTATTTTTTTTTTTAAACAAGATAATCAAATAATCAAAAATACAGTCCTTGATTATCAAATAATCAAATAATCATGAAATATTTGGTCTCGTAATCAAATAATCACTATAAAAACGTCCAAGTAATCACATAATCAAAAACCCATGAGAAGGCTCATTCGGAAAAGGGGGAGGGGGGTGGTATTTGGAACTTGAAATACAGTAGAGAAACTGTTGTTAAATTTGTATTTTGATCTAAAGTTGTCTTTTTGTTTTATTGTGATGTTTGGTTAATACATCACTGATACATACCCTACATGGTTGATACTTTAAAACTATTCGTAAAAGTATTATTTTATTTGCAAAGCAACACCAAGGTACTCACGCTTAGAACTTATACCCATGAATTCGTCTGGTTTCATTCCACCATATTTTTCTTCTTCTTCTGTTGGTTCAGGAGGGAGAGGAACAGATCGTATTGGTCTTGGCAAAGTCACTGGAATAATTAAGACATATTACACAGTTACACATTTACACATTACACATTTGAAGATCAATTAACATTTGTTTAGAATAATGGTTTTACAGAAAAATTTCGACTTATTATTTGGTGTATTGCATTTTAAAGTCATTAGGTTTTGTTTTAACTTTACAGTTTCTTCAGTTTCTTCATTGCACATTTGCCGTTTGTAACAATTTTCCGAGCTTATAGTATCCCTTGAGTTAATTTACTACATGTTCATTTTTAGTTTTGTTTTTAATGAATTCGTGTTGTTCTTGACTTAGTTTTTTAAAGAGTTGTTTTTCTTAATATGTTATTTTCAATGTGTGTTGTGTTGCTACCGATAACATTCATGTCTATCTTTTGTCCTGAAAACTTGTTTCCGTTTCGAAATTTGATATTCGGCTAAGTAGATATTAAGGATAAGAGAATGTACATCTGTAAATTTTTATGAATTTAGTGATGTCTTACTTATAGTTAGAAAATAGACATTCAGCGTTGAATAACATTAAACAGTGTCACAAACTGTTCAATAATTACATGAACATGGATTTTCTACCGAAGGAATGGATTACCTTAGCTGTATTTGGCAAGACCTTTTGGAATTTTGGGTCCTCAATGCTCTTTAACTTCGTACTTTATTTTGTCATTTTAACTTTTTTAATTCGAGCGTCATTGATGAGTCTTTTGTAAACGAGACGTGCGTCTGGCGAACTATAATGAGTATATATATGGCCCGCGGAAAATCATAGTTTGTTTAATTAACCTGTTTCACTAATGATATGGTCATAATCATAAATTAACCGTTTACAAAACTTTGATTTTTTCGAAATACTAAGGATTTTCTACCCAAGAAATAGATTACCTTAGCTTTATTTGGCAAAACCTTTCGGAATATTGGGTCGTCAATGCTCTTCAACTTCGTACTTTATTTGGTCTTTTTTTTAATTTTTTTGATTCGAGCGTCACTGATGAGTCTTTTGTAGAGTTGAATAATGAAATAACACTACAGTTGAATTACAGTTTCAGCTACTAATTCCAGTATTTTGGTTTAAATATCGAGTTAGTATTCGCGTTTCATTAATACATGTCTGTGTAATCATGGGAACACTCAAACAAAACAGAATCCATCAAGAGTTTTGCAATAATACCACATCTTCTTATTTTTATATCAACTAAACAGTTCGGTAAAAATTAAATGAGTAGTTTAACAATGTGTGTAAATGTTTTGATAATCTCTTAATACATAATATGTTGAACACATTGTTAACGTATCTGTTTTGTTTGAATTTCCAATTATAAACCACTACAAAATCGATAATTATTCATCAAATTCATGTCAAGTTAACTTGAAAACGGAAAAAACTTACAGGATTTTTCCTCTAATTGAATTTTTTCTTGTGTTGGTATGTTTTTAAAACTTTTGCTTCTAGAGTTATCTACAATAGATACATAAAATATTCGAGAGATAATCATTGTTACGTTGAAAAATGTGTCTTCAAATTTTTAATTGAATATTACCGTTTCGCTTGTAACAAATAAATAAGTACATTTTTTCAATTGAAACTTTCATAATTCAGACAAATTCGTTAGATAAAATCAGCTGTTTATGAAAAAATATTAGCTTTAAATTTCGGTTTAATTATAAGAAATTGGAACTTCATATTACTATATTACACTATTTTCTTTCAAATTAGTTAACTGTCACACTACAGTATTTGGTGAATACCACTGCCTGTTAAGTGTTCATTACAAAACAAAGGGTTTTTCAAGTGTGATTTGTTTTGCCTCCCTTTTATATGTTTGAGGTATATTCACAGGGATATGGGCTCATATTTCCTGTCATTTGTTTTATATCTCCTGAGCCGTTTGACGAATATAAGTACATATCCCCTGTGAAGCCTTACAAACAAATATATTATACTGGAGTGTCCTGATTGCAATAAAAATTACCATCCTGGTCTCCGTTTTTGGTCACATTTTGGGCCCATATACCCTGTAAAGGTAACCTATCAAATTGCAGGATTAGCCGGAATATTTAACTCCAGTATAATATTCTATTATTGCCTCCCTACTTTATTCTTTGTCTCCATATTGTATGTTTTTATCTCCGCATTATATCGTATTGGCTCCCTTTGATGTCTTATCATTTTTTTATTGTTCATTTCGTTTTTATTACAGGAAATTTTATGAAGTTTCAAAAACCTTCATTATTAAAGAAACATAATTCATGCTTTTAGAAATGTTTCTTAACATGATAACAATATTTCCTCTTTACCTATTGCCTGATTCCTAGCTCTTTCTAGCTCTTCTTGGTTAGAATAGTTGTTATCCATAGCCAAATGGATATAATCAACCATAGTTTGAGTTTCCTGAAAGATAGTGATATCAACATTTTGGCCATGGTTGACTCATGGTTATAATATTCAAAAACTAAAAAGTACCACACATTCATGATTCCCTGTCTAAATAAATATATATGTATGCTTTATGTACACATCTCCTGATGATTGTAGATTTTTTGTTTTCGCAAATGCGTATTTTATAAAGTGATATATGTAATTTTATTTCTTTTACAGATTTTGTAAAATTTCATTTCAACGAAAATCTTTATAGTTTCATGAACACACAGGACATTCAATCGTATATTCAAATTAAAGTTGAATCCGCTTCGAACAATATGTTTACGAATTGTGTTTTCCATTAACGACTGCATACAGCGTAAACTTCAAATCAATGACAAACTTACAAAATGTGTTCTCATATGTTCAGCTAGGTCTACGTGACCATTCAATTCCGCAAGATCAGCCGGGTCGTGACCGTCTTTATTTTCTATCTGAAAGGCGGCACTAGATCCAGGGGTATCTAAGATATTGCATGTCAAATCCTCTAAGCCATGTTTGGCAGCAAAATGTAGTAATGTTGGTATTTCCTGGTCACTTTCGATTACTGTTGATAGTATAAATAATACCTCATGTAAATAAATAAACATTATGTCATAGTGATAACAAGCTGAAAAGATACGTTATCAAGATATACTGGTATGTTCCACTCAAAAGGTTGAAATTCCCACGTAGAAAGTCAAATGCGGTGTGTTCCTTGAATAACTTTATTTTGACAATGCAATATGTTTAAAAGTTTTTAAACAGATAACAAACAATGTCTAAATTCTAAAATCTATGAAATGTGAACAGCCTTAGATACATGTCAACAGAACACTAAATGAGAAAATTCAAGTGTACAAAAAAAAACATTTAAAAAAAACAAAGAAGTTGAAACTTGAAAAATATGAGCATGAAGTGCAGAAAAAATCCTAAAACGAATCATAAGTCATTATTTATTGAAACTACAATAGCGAAATCATAACAGATTTAATTGAAAAAAAGATACACAAACAACATATAAAAATAGATTTATAAACAATAAGGCAACGAAAGCAAATACACTTATAAAAGAACAGGACTCAAAAATATATAAAAAGAACTGGTACACGTAAATAAATCAGCATCTTCATACAATTACACAAAAACCAAATCAGCAAATAATAATGTCAAAAACAAAACTACTCGAATAACCAGGGAAATATAACAGGTATAACAGATATAAAACAAGGTGAAAATCAAAAAAAAAAAAAAGAACACACAACAAACGTACGTGTATAGTAGTAACAACAAAGAAAGCAATTTAGACACACAACAAAGAAGACAATAAGGGTGAGCAAATAATAATAATAATTAACATAGTAATAATTTTATTAAAACAAATATATAGGAGAGGAAGATCAAGGACAAGTGTACTAAGAGCAAAACAATAATTAAAAAAAACGATGTCCAAGCAAATAAGAAAAATATCATATATATACAAAAACATAAAAAAGAAATAAATGTAAACAAGAAAGGTAAGCACAAAAAAACCAATAACACATATTAATGTGACGAAATAGGTATACAATCCCCTCCCAAAAAAACCAAACTTGTTCAGCAACAACAAAGAATAAAATAACATTAAGCTACTTAAAACCTAAACAAGATTAACAATGAAATAGGTGTTAGATTAGTATATCAGTTCTCAAGAAGACGATATAAATACTTGTTCCAAAGGTCCAAAAGAGAGGCGAAAGATACCAAAGGGACATTCAAACTCATAATTTGAAAACAAACTGACAACGGCATGGCTAAAAAAGAAAAAGACCAACAGACAAACAACAGTACACAAAACACAACATAGAAAAATAAAGAGTAAGCAACACGAACACCACCAAAAACTGGGGGTTATCTCAGGTGCTCCAGAAGGGCAAGCAGATCTTGCTCCACATGTGACACCCGTCGTGTTGCTCATGTTAGTACAAACTCGGTAATAAGTCTAATTCGGTAGGTCACATTTTAGGAAAAGGGGACGAGATTGTAGTTACGACAATTGGAACATATCCGCTGTCATCTGTGAAACGGATATTCCATAACGGTCAACCAACTCTTGATGGCGTCGTTAAAATTTACGAAGGGATGATTTAAACTTCCCAACTTGGAACTCTTCGTTTAATTCCTTCCTGTGAGCAGCAACCCTCTATCAAGGAAATCATGATAGGAAATAAAATCTCTGAAATATCGTATCAACTGGGAGATATATACTCCATATGCAGGCGCTGCTGGAATGTCGCTACATAGAAATGGAAAGTTCACAATTGGGAAACTGACATCATCTCTTTTGTCGAGTTTTGTTTTCAACTGACCCTCATTGTCAATTTCTAGATGTAAGTCAAGATATGAGGCAGACTTAACTGTATCTGTTGCATCCTTTATCGCAAGTTCGATGGGATAAGTGCGTTCAACATAGTCACCAAATTTTGAATTATTTAGTGAGAGAACATCATCTATTTAGCAAGTAAAGTTAAAGGATGCTGCTAACTTCTTTTCTTTCTTCCTAAGAAGTTCCTGTATGAAGTCAGCTTCAAATGAATAAAGAATGAAGAAATCAAGCATCTTGATAATGTCATTTTCAGTGAATTTTTTATTTGAATGAGAGTGATTTTTACGAAGTACGATTGTGAAACTAAATACCTGCTGTCAACATTTAAATATGGACAACAAATGGGTTTTAAATAGAGGACAGTTCTCAAAATGACATTTCTGTATATTCTACTATTGCTCTTATGCAAAACTAAGCCACCAGCAACTGGATACACTATGAGCTGATGAGTTAACAAGTAAATACCAGCAGCTCATCAGTTGCATCCAGTTTATACTAACTTTTTAAAACACTTTAAACCGAAACTTATATTTAAAGGGGCATTATGTACGATTCAGGCAAACCATTAAACTATTATTCCTTTTTGTTTCAAACATTAACAAAAGCGGAATATTGATATAATATTTCGGTATTAGCAGTCAGTTTGGTTACATTTTGTCAAATGTAACCCCAAAACATTGCTGATGTATTTATACTATTGGCTTACAGTTCAAAACTTCAACCTCATTTCAATTCATATTCATGCGACCTTTGTTGGAAATTGGATACACATGTGAGCATGTACAGTGATTGGAATGAAAATCAGTTGAAAAATCGAAACTAAGGGAGACAGCAGCAGGAAGACCGATTTTGTTGATTGATTCGAAAAACTGAAAAACCAGTCATATACAGGTTATGACTAAGTGATTAACATTTAATTTATAAGTTTTTATATATGAAATGAGATCAAACAGAACTAACGTAAAGAAAATCGACCTTATATTGTTGCATGTGCTTACCTATACAAAAATAAGAAGATGTATGATTGCCAATGAGACATTTCTCCACCAGTGATCAAATAACGTAGAAGTTAGCAACTGTCTATTACCTGTCTATTTGCATTTAATCTTTACCTGCCTGTTAATATTTATAACTATAATGGGGTCGCATGCCTCTCTTTTGTCGATTGAGTCACACGAAACGTAGATACTTATAACGATTCCAGACAGTGTATATTGTTTTCTATGGAACCTGAGTTACGTTGTAGTAAATACTAAATCAATTTTGAGAGTTTGAATACATTCGGTGAGCACAAATATGGTAGCAAATGCCCTTTGAAAGAATAGAGTACGACAACTTTAATTTGATAGAGTCATTTTCGCTTTCCATTTTTGAATAACAAAACAAGGGAAAAGATAGAAAATTTCTCAAATTCCATAATCTTTTTATACATAAATCTATTTTTTTCAAATTTATACCACATCACTCATTTAACATAACATATAATATTAAATTTACCATATGAAAGCCAGGTTGTACAAATTTACAATGAAAAAAAAGATTGAGAGACACTAGTTTTCACATAAGGATGAATTAACATAATGTCATCTTTAATTTATGTTTGATGAGGTATGTATACTTTCATTAAAAAACAGCCTCATAAACATGAAGAAATCCTTTTTCATATGATTTAATATAGCAAAGACTTAACCAGTCATTCTGCTTACTTTTTGAGTTCATCTCAATATATTCGACGGGCGAAGCACTTGAGTCGACTCACCCTTTTTTTTATCTATCATATTCACGTAGCTCAATCCTGAGTTTTTTGTATGATGTTTTGTGAACTATTTTTCACTTTTCGTCGATTTGCTTTTGGTGTTGGTTTTGTCTTTTCTTCATATTAATGATTTTTTAAATATCATAATCACGTAGCTCAATCCTGAGTACTTTGTGTGATTTTTTTGTGAACTGTGTTTGATTTTTCTTATATTATCTTTCGGTAATGGTTTTGTCTTATCTTCAACTTGATTTCTAATCGCAACTTTGGTATCATCTATTCATAGTTTATTTTGTTTGTTGGTATTCTGGAATATAATATTTCCAAATGTTGTCAAAGGGTCAATAAATCAACTTCTTATATAACTAAACATAGTAATTAGATACACAAAAACTCACGTTCTTGAAAGGGCATGTCCTGAGCCTGCACTTTCATCAGTTCAGCCAAGGTTCCATCGCTAGGAATACTCTTGTCGAATAGATCTAACAATTTACTATCAAGTACTTGTTTTTCATTAGCATCCACGCCTAATACTTGTGATAAAAAGTCTAAACATTCGTATGCAGCTAGATTAGGCTTCACAATTTTCAGAACACAATCCGCTGTTTTTTCACTATCACATAATAACGATATCCGTACGTCTCCGGATTTTGGTAATGCTGAAAAAAGACTTTAATTGTGATTTGTGTTATTTAAGTTATCGTCACTTCTTGTCTAGATTCGGGGAGATTTAGACAATTGTAAAGTGTTGAAGGCCGTATCGTCGCGATATAGCCATTTTGAGCTGAGGTGGCGTAAAACAACCACCAATCAATCAATCAATCTAACAATTGAAAGCCGTATGTTGAATAAGATCGCTTGTTTTCTCTTTTGAATTCTTTCACATTTTGTAATTCTTATGCCTTTTGATAGCTTACTATACCATATATGAATAACTCATTATTGAAGGCCATTCATTGTCTTTAGCAGATAGTCGTCTCATTGGCAATCATACCACATCTGCTTATAATTAAAGTTACCGAAAGCAAGCTCAAATTATTTAAGGACGTTAAATAAATATTAATTTATTCATTTATATATCTTTGTTATTATCATTCATTTAATTTTCAGGTATTACTAGTACTACGTTTGTATATGTTCCAACGTCACTTTATCGGCGAATAACATTCCATAAGATGGTCGGGCAGACCGAAACGTCCTGAAAGTAGGAACAAGGTTTTATACTCGAATTTAAGAGAGGAATCCACTACTGCCACTTCTTCCTAAAACACCAGTACATAACGCCTAAAAAAGGGGTTCAATTTAAGGGACATTATTCAATATTTCTTAATTAAAATTATTATCATGATTATTCCATGTTAGTATATTATTTTAGGTTTTATTTGTTAATTTTAAATATTAAATGTTGAATAAAACAACGTATCACTTAAACAAATGTAGAAAATTATACACACCGTGGAATGCGTCACCTGTTATCTAATTAAGAAATAACTAAAATGTATATATTCATGGAGCGAAACATCACGTGCAACCCGAAAAAAAGGTTATTTTTTAAAATTGATATGGACTACCCTTAAAGTCATGTGCTTTAAGATGTAAATTCCTTGAATAAAACAATGACTTCTTTTATTTTGGTTAATATGTGATTTAATTGGTTTTTGAAAAAAATGATATTCACCTTGATGGTTGTCCTCCGTGGATATTTTTTTTAATGTAAATTTGTGGTTTAATTGACTTTTTACACGAAAATGAATTCCTGTGACAAATCTTTGAGGGATACATATGAAATGAAATGAAACGAAACGTAGCGAAATGTAATGAAATAAAATGATTTTCTTGGTTATTACATATATGCATTACACGACCCTTTTCGTAAATCACCTGTGATGGAATTTAGTAACGAATTTGGCATTGTGTACAAATGTGAAAGATTCATTTTAATAAATACATCCGTCTTTTTTCTGCAGGAAATTTTCTGATATCTTTTTTCATGTTTTTGTTTAAACATAGATTTAATGTCGAGATGTATATCATTTTAATTTAAAACCGGTGTTGGTGATATTGATAACATATGATGCACTTGATTGTTCAAATAAAACAATGTACTTACATGGAACGCGGAAAAGATATGTAGTTTCATTGATTGATTCTTTTGCATCAACTATCTTATCAAATTCGTTGAACATGACCTGAACAGTACCACTTGGTGGTTTCTGGAATATAATCGCAACATGCTCGTTTGCCTGCAACAAAAACAGATTTAGCTAAAGATACAATCATTATGTTCCAACGGCTCCTTCTAATGTCGTGCATATTTCTCAGTTGATTAAAACTCGTGTTTTGTAGTGCTGTTTTAGAATTCAATGACCATACAATATCGATTTATAAAACTTGAACAGGATGCATATTATAATCAAATGGATCAACACATCTTTTTTCTAAATCTTGACGAATACACAATTGTTATAGAAATATGACCCATCTTAAGTAATGTAATAAGGAATAGCCTTTCCCAATCAGAGTTTTAAAGTAATATCATTTATCAAGAGTTAGTTTGGTAAAAGCCATATTTGGTCCCGAAATTAAAGTCCGTTCTTTTAAGATAAAAGAGATTCAAGTTGATTAATAGACATATGTATGAAAGTGAAATAGAACTAAACACTAAACAAATAGAGTCCATTTTTCTCTTTTCTTTCTATTTTATCACACGATTATTCTCTATTCTTGATTAGACGGCGTAAAGTAAACATCCATCAACCAATAATCATTTTCCCCTTCTCTCTATACTTTATTTCTTTGATCCATTATTCTCCAATCTGTAAACCCAATCCAGACCCTCATAATATGCACATGATCGTTTTCTTAATTGTTGTTAATTCATGCACACGAAAGACAAACTTTGAAGCCTTGTACTTCACAGTATTTACTTACATTACAAAAAGGAAGTATCACTTTAAATCAACTAGATTTGAATCGTAGACCAATCGAGAAAAGAGACATTGGTTTGATATATTTGAAACACCATTCCGGAAATAACTATATATCAAGGATAAAGCGCATTTATGGTCTTAATCCTTACAATTATTAGAAGGTCTTCCACAATTAACCGGACTTATTAAATTGACAAGATCAAGTCTGCAGACCAAGAATTAATGTTAAAGGAGCACTGTTTGAAACGAGGAAAACGAAATTACACTGCAAACTAAACAATTTTTTCGGCGGAAATAACTGATGAAATAAAACAGAAAGCTATTATTCAGATTAAATTTTTACACAATTACACGGAAATCACAAAATGAATCAATTGTGTATGTTGGACTTTGGACTTTCGTCTCATTACAGGAACCCTTTTTTGAGACTTATGTTGGCAATCTAGCTAGATGTCTGACACTTTTTGACTTGTTGGACGGTCATTTATATTTTTCCGTAATGATCAAAGGAGATTAATGGTTTGATAGAATAACCGAATAGTTACATTAAACATTACTACTTTTTTGCAACATATCCGCATTTTGACAATTTTTGTCCCATCGACGGTGCTCGAAACCAAATTAATGAAATTCCACAACATAATAGAAACGTTTAACAGCTGTAATAATCGAAAAAGAAAACAAGTGTTACCATAACCCTAAGAAGGAATAAGAGCTACATGTACGCATGAAGTAGATAAATTCCCTAATTACTGAGGATTTTCTATAACAGGAATAGATTATCTTAGCTGTATTTGGCAAAGCCTTTTGGAATTTAAGATCCTCAATGCTCTTCAACTTCGTAATTTATATTGCCCTTTTAACTTTTTTGATACGCGCGTCTGGCGTACAATATTTGAAGCTGGTATCTATGATGAGTTTATACACAACCACTGAGTCGAAGCCATTGCTTGGATGTTTACTCCCCGAGGTTATTACCAGCCCAGTAGTCAGCACTTCTTTGTTGACATGAGTAATCATTGATATGATCATAATTATGAATTGAAAAAGAGGGACGAAAGATACCAGAGGGACATTCAAACTCATAGATCGAAAACAAACTGACAACGCCATGACCAAAAATAAAAAGACAAACAGACAAATAATAGCACAGATGACACAACATAGAAAACTAAAGTCTAAGCAACACGAACCCCACAAAAAACTGGGGGTGATCTCAGGTGCTCCGGGAGGGTAAGCAGATCCTGCTCCACATGTGGCACCCGTTGTGTTGCTTATGTTATTACAAATCCGGTAAATAGTCTAATTCGGTAGGTCACATTCGTGAAAAAGGAAGGGTATTGTAGTTACGACATAAGGAACATATCCGATATCATCTGTGAAACGGTTATTCCATAACGGTCAACCAACTCGTGATGGCGTCCGTACAATTTACGAAGGGATGATTTCAACTTCACCATTTGGAACTCTTGTGTGTAACTGTGTAACTTTGAATTTTTCAAAAAACTGAGGATTTTCTACCTAAGGTATAGATTACCTTAACTGTATTTGGTAAAACCTTTTAGAATTTTTGATGCTCTTCAACATCGTACTTTATTTGGCCTTTAAACTTTTTTAATTCGAGCGTGTCAGGTGTACAAAATAATAAGTCTTGTACACGTATCTTTTATGAGTTTTTTTTTTGACACTTATGGTATAAGCTGTCATATTGACCGAATTGTGTTCACTTGGTACTTATGGCATGAGCTGATATGTTAACTGATTAGTGTTCACTTGATACTTATGGCATAAGCTTTCATGTTGAGTGATTTTTGATCATTTGATACGTTGTGCTTTATGTTTTTAGTGTTATCTCTAAATTTTTAAAGACTTATCATAAAAATGTGATGTTTGTCTCATTCAAAACTCATTCTGTTAATCTACTTCATTTTTGAGACATAACGAAAAAGAATTGATATGGTATTTCAATTCATAACACAAAATCACTATGCGCTATTGCTTGTTCCTAATCGGAAACGTTAGTTATTGTCCTTCCACGGTTGGATAATGCATTTAATTTTGCAAGTGAATTTGATACCACCCTTGTATTATAGACTGTTTTTCTTTAACGCTTTCGAAGAATCATATGCTATCAAAGTAGACAAAACATTAATATACTAAATTGCCTTAAAAGCAGCAAAGGTTGAAAAATGCACAATTACCTTGTATACACAGTTTGGGAAAATTTTAGCGGATCTCTTCGATTTTCTTAATAATCTTTTCTTTGGTAAAGGCTTCACTGTGGGTTGGGGCACGCGAGACTGTTCCTCAAGAACATCAAAAATACTCGCTATAGTTTCAGTACATTCCTGTTTAGTTTCAAGATTCTGAAATAGTTTCCAACTTTTTGGGTCAACTGCTAATGCTGTTTGTAAGCGTGATATATCATCATTTTCCACGTAATACTGCAGACAAATTATGCACGGATGATTCACCAATATTTTTTGAAATCTTTCTATTTCCGACTCGTTGTCAAAGAATTCTATCATACAAGGACTGCATAGTACTACTACCAATTTGTATGTAGATAATTCTGTCAAATCAGCAATCTCTCCGATGTTTTGAAAGTTTATCTTTAATTCTAAATTTCCTTTAAGAAATAACTCCTTAAGGTATTCCGCAAAGTCTTCGACATCTTCACAGTTTAAAAGAACACAAATGTCTTTCATTTTTACTTCCTTAAAATGAACATCATATTACTTAGCGCAGCAGCATTTTAATAAACATTGTACTCCTTCTTCTTTTTTACATCACACTCTTACACAAACATGATGTGTTTTTTTTCTGTAATAGAAGGTATGATTAAGCATCATTTCAAAATATCTGTAATTCAGAATATCATATGAGGTTATGTTTGTAGTATACATAAATATAAATCGCTCTTTACTAGACATTGTCCCTTAATAAAAAAAAAACGGTAGGCATTACAGTAAAACGTTCTGAAATCCATGAGAAGGTTATTTTCATGCACGTAAATAACTTATTGTTAACGATTAGTATTATACAATTGTGTTCAATCATTTAATTACAGGGCGATTTTTTTCACTGTTTTCTGCTTTAAAATTCTAAACTATATAAAAATAAGAAGATGTGGTATGATTGCCAATGAGACAACTCTCCACAAGAGACCAAATGGCACAGAAATTAACAACTATAGGTCACCGTACGACCTTCAACAATGAGCAAGTTTATTCTGGATATTTCACAAGATCTCCTCTATAATATCCTTTTCACATTTTACACTTTTTCCCTGTATGCTGGTATTGGGTATTCAGCTTATTCGTAATACATGAAACAGAATCAGTTGAAGATTCTGGCTGGCCTCGTTTTTTCAGGATCTTCAGAACTTAGCAGATATATTCCTTTGATATGTTTTTCAATTCGTTGGTGTCGATCGGATATTTAAAATGACCGTAAGTGGAGGCTAGCTGAAATAGGAAACAAGTGGAAAATAACAGTTTCGGTTTCTTTATCAAGTTCAGAAAGAGAGAAAAAAAACCATGCAGGTATGATGTAAGGAAGTTATAATGACTGATGTTACTTTACAAACTTTCCAGTTAAAGGTCAGCTACAAGAACCACTGAATTGATTGAAACGAGATAAAGATCATTTACAAGTGTTTATACATACCAATTAAAAATTTTAAACGGTTGCAAAATTGACATTGAAGGGGCACGTTTTTCTCAAATACAGATGATGTGAGATAAAAAGAAAACATGAAGGAAAGTTAAACAGAAGACACTTGACACTAACTGTTAGGTTGGTGCCTCTGAATGGGCCAAGAGGCACACAAGCAACAAGATGGTCATATTTGTCCAAAGATTTTTTTTTAAGAGCAACCAATAAACGGATTGTACTGAAATTTGCCACATGTCCCTTTGTAGGTCTGTGCTATAAGTGCTGTTGAAATTTACAATCGCCCCCTCCGTAGGTCTAAGTTAACATTGTATAGTTTGTTTGAGTTTTATACATCCCCAAAAATATATAATAAAAAATCCTAATTTTATATGTGGTAGCTGAATTTGCACCTCGTTTTTTTGTTATCGTGAAACGAACTCAGGTTTGCCATATTTTTTTGTCAATTGATTAAAAAGTTTCCTATTAGCTCATTATAATTAATATGTTTTTCACAATCTTATCTATACAGAGGGGATATAGTTTATGACAATCCAACTATACAGAGTTTATGACAACAACAGCCATTTAATTTACAATAGAAGTGCCAATCAGTCAATATAGAATTGAATAATGTTTTCGTAACACTGCATTCAATTCTTAGATTTACAGATTTTCGAAATAAAAAAGATATACTAGTATGTTACAACATTTTGAATCTGAACGTAAAACTTTGAACACAAAACTTAAACAGAAATTGTCTAGCGAGATGAAAGCAGCATCATTCCAAGCGAAATCAATTATACGTCATATAGCTGAAATTGGCAAAGTGAAGATGTCGATTTCAAAGTAGTAATTAGGAAAATATTTGTTAAATTTTCAGTAACTATTATACATTTATATCATATGATGATATAGCTATTTTTTATGTATATTTATATCAATTATTCATATTTAGAAGATATACTGTCAACTACCTTCGTATATTGAACACCTACTGTAAATATGATCTCCTTTGATATTAAGACTATAATAAAAGTCTATGTTGTTTAGAATCATGGATTGAACACCTGACAATTTGCAGTCATTTTCAGTGTATGCACTTCGATCTAGACTGTGTTAATAAAAATTTTACCAAACTTATACCAAATGGACATCTTATTTTTATATCTGTTTTTATCAAGTTTAGCAAATACTCGGAAAGTAGATGTAAGAGTTTGTATACAACAGAGATAAAGATAAATATATAGTGCAACATAAACAACGTAATTTAAAAATCTAAATTTTCTAATAATTTATTTTTTCGAAGATTGTATACACTCAAACGGACAATAACTAATGACAAGGTCACTGATCACATCGGGCAATATTAGTTCAGGCTATAACGACAAGGTCGCTGATCACATCGGGCAATATTAGTACAGGCTATAATATTTCGTTTGACTTCTATAAATCTTTAAAAAATGATTATTAAAAATCAGATTTTGAAATAACGTTCTTTATTTCGTAGTATATATTTATCTTTGTAAAAAAAAATGCTCATACACTGTTAGTTTAAAGGTCTAAGTAATTATAAACAACAATTCCATGAAAGGATAACTTTAAAAAATCTAAAAGTTAAAACGTTTACGATGATAAATCGTTTAACACGGAAAACAAAATACACAGTGAGTGCGTTGTATGTTATATATAGGTGTTGTTCAAACTAAAACAGGAAATGAATTTTCTACTCTCTTTTTAAATGCAAATGTCAAACCTTTAAATGATGATTACAGAACTTGCATTGAGTTAATAATCAAAGAGAAAAACCATTTTGTGAGCCAGACATTTGATTTTGCTAAAAATCAAATTATTTTGCTTTAGACAAAATTATCTGTCAAAAAAGAGACAATGTTAATGTTTTTATGAGCTGTTTCAACATTTTCTTCATGAACACAGTTAAACTAATAGGACTTGTCTTTGCGACTAACTGTAGTTGATAACTTTCAATCTAGTTTTTTTGAATTTTCAGAGCGAGCAGAAATAAGAAAATTCATAAATAATTTCGTAGACAGGGAATTGGTAATGGATTTAAGAACACAAGAAAAAGTGACAGCTTTGCTCTACATCGACTATCTATCTATATTGAGAAAACTATTAATGTAACAAATGATTTTCACAATAACTGTAACTAATGAAATAAGAAATTTAAAAAAAAAATTTCAACATCATGTATTCTTTATGGAAATCCAAGGTGTCTTGTGTAGAAATGTAATGAATAAGTAAGCCAAGCTGAAAATTTTGGTAAATGTGATTTAGTCAATACAGTGGTCAATAGTTTTTGAAGATATCAAGCTCGAAGTGGTGGGAATCCAGGATTTTCAAATGGGCGGAGATGCCATCTGAAAGGTTTGCCTATAAGGAGGGAAAATATACTGAAAAAACTCATCATAGATTCTACGATTATTTTTTTTTTCGCAAGACGCATGAAACGTTTCGTCTACGAAATACTCATCAGTGAATCTCGAATCAAAAAAATTAAAACAGCAAAATAAAGTACGAAATTGAAAAGCATTGAGGACCCAAACTTCTTAAATAATTTTCCAAGTACAGATTTTAGTTTGTAATTATGGCCATATCAATGATAATTCATGTCAACACAGAAATGCTGACTACTGGACTGATGATACCCTCAGGGAGGTAACCTCCACCACCAGTGGTTGTAAATAAACTCATCATAGATACCATGGACCATGTCAATAAAAGTATCCTAGGATATGTCCTCAGATATGTCTTAAGACATTATTTAGGATGGTATTAGGACGTGTCTGAGAACTGTCTTAGGATGTGAACAAAGCTATCTAAGGACAGTTCTTACTACGCTTGTCATAAGACCACCCGAACACATTTATGTAATTAATAAAAATATGTAGAGAATCAATTGAAATATATTTCAATGTATTTCAGTATATCTATAAAGGCAGAGTTGTATCTTTGATGAAGAAGAAATAAATTAACGCAAAATAAAGATTTAATATAATACTAATAGATCTGTTATTGTACATTATATATATATATTACAAATGATAAATAAATTTCATACAGCAACTAAACTTAATGTCACAAAATTTTGTTAGAGGCTATTATCGTGCAATTTAAAATATGTAAAATAGTTTTGTCCTTAGTTCCAATCGATTTCATTACATGTATTGAATCAGCCTTTAATTAGTTCGAAAACAAAACAAATTTTTACTGAAACCAAAGATCAAATGTTTTCCACATTTCAATTATTGTATTTCCATTTGATCAGGTGCAAAAAATGTTGCTAATATTGATAAAATTTTAAGCTTCAAAAAAGGGCAGCACGAATTAGTGTAAATGAGCGTAACGATATGACATCATCAAACATACTTTTTGGATGCCCATTTCAGATTATTTCGTATTAGAAAAGAAATGTTAGTTCTTCACCAAATGACTCAAGAATATCTCAATGTATTTAGATATTTGAAACAGGTTAGTTCTATTACATTTGTTTTTTGGTTCCAAAAACTAGAATTTTTTTTTTTTAATTTTATACGTTATGTTTTATATATGTATATGATGCTGCGGCTCTTTTCACAAAATATCTGAAGAGTAAAAATACGCATAAGTCATACACATTTCAGTATAACTTACTTTGTTGTTTTTATTTCGACTTAGGACATCGTAACTTTTAGGACTATCCTAAGACACCTATGTATATATCCTAACTTTAGGACCAAATTTAGGACATATCGTATATTTTGAGACTTTTGTTAACCCGACTTAGGACTAAGACGTGTCCTACGACCATCCTAAGACACGTCCTAGTCCTAAGACAGCTTCGCTGACACGGGCACAGAAGATCAGTGACACTCGAATAAAAAAATAGTTAAAAAGGCCGAAATTACAATTGTCCAGCCATCTAGGTCCCTGGGACGATCGATAGTAAACCGTGATTGTAACTCTGGTAATATATGCAATCATACCAATGCCCCCAAATGCCTCCAATTATTTTGATCATAGTAAACCATAACATAACAAATGACCATAACTTTTTTTGTTTATCTTAAGTATAACAGACTGAAAAGCTTCCTTCTACTAGAACACAACCATATGTAATGTACGGCAGACTATTAGTATGTGACAGTTTTCTTTATTTATCAATCTCAGGTAAATTTATTTGTCAAAGTTAGGTACTATCTAGGTGATGTGAATCATTCACTTTAAATACACATGTAAAGAGATTAGTTTGACGTCGACTTATTGTGTTGTGTGTATAAGTGTACTATTTAGTTTGACCTTATCTAATATTGCTCACAAAGTTAAATTATGTTTTAAATAAGAAAACTCACCATAAACGCTAAATTCAGACAGTAAATAATTTCCATCTAGACATGAAGTAGCTTGCATGTTTTTTTCTTATTGAAACACAAACGAGGAAGTAAGAGATATGTGTCACATGAGTAAGGGAACGGAAGGTACACTTCATTCATAAACATGTTAAAGAAAACGATGTACAATTCGTTGTATTGTAGCGTTATTTCTTGGAAAAAAAATTTTGCAATGGGCATGTAGTTTATTTTGCGTAGGTCAAACTCTAATGGATGCTATTCTAATAGAAAATTAAAATTTACATAAAACTCTGGATCATATAAAAACAAAAATCAAAACCAAGAATAAATACTCTCGATCTACCATGCATGCTTATTGGTTTGATTAACTTGAACGACGATCTGTTCACAAAAAAGAAAGATAGTTTTAGATATATTCTAACATAAAATTCTTGAAGATAAGTTACATAAACTCATCTCTTATTTGATATTTTATACAAATCGGTACACGTTCACAATACTAGATGTGTATGTCATTACAGTCAGTCTAAAGTCCGTTTAATAATAAATAGCTTGACAAATTTAAAATACTTAACGTTACTGGTAATACCGTCCATTTTTTGTCTATCATTCATTCTTCGAATATTTCAATCATTTTACAAAACAATATCACAAATTTAGCCTTATCTAAAATAAATTACACTATACGTGAATTCATACCCTTGCAGGTACCTCTTTAAAATTATTGCATATAAGATAAAATACTTACTAGGAAGTAGTTTGAACGAAATCTTCTTCCGTCTGATTGATCATCTGAAGTGTCATACACATTAATTATATATATATAATATTATTTACAAATCAATGAAAATAAAAGAATGATGCATTCTATTCTTGAAAAGTCTTACAAGAAATCATTGTTTGTAATGAAACGAGATGTCTATCGTACACAGTACTGATAGTATAGTCATTTTAGCACCTGCCCACAAGACCCAGTGAGTCACTACTTTGCGGGAGTCATTAGTAAAACTACTTTTCACTGCATCTTCCGAACCCACCAGCCTGTACAAACTTTACATGAATAAAATTTCGTCAGTCTTATTTGAAAGTTCCTTCATGGGAATAATCATATATTTTGAAAAACATTCTCATTTGATGTTGATTTTTTATATATATAGCGGGTCGTGGGTTCGAACCCCGGCCGGGTCAAACTAAAGACTCTAAAACAGGTATTTGCTGCTTCTCCGCTAAGCACGCTGCATTAAGGAGTAAGCTCGGAGTCAGAATAATTTGTCCGGGTAAGGTGACATGTCTTCCTGCGGACCGTTACCTTGTGAACTAGCACCTTCAAAATCCGGCTCAGCGTGTCGGTCTAGTACACAGCAGGGTGAATATTCATATTACATTAACATGTTCTCGTCCTGAATATGCATATTGATTTGCCGCTGGACGTTATGCAACCATTTTATCATCACCTTATATATAGACCGGTATTACTATGAAACTACTTGGCAAATTTTAACCAAACCTGACAGAAATGATGTATGAAAGACATTCTACAATGGTCTTCATTTGGCTAAGGTTCTGATCGGACAAAAACACGACCTACCAGATGCTATTCATCCTGATTGATCTTTTTAAAAAAATCTTCGGGGATTGATGAAAGCGATCCATCAGGAGTGATCTTGTAGTTATCTTCTCTTGTTGAAATAAAATTTCACAGAAACAATGGTCGGCATTATCATAGATACCAGGTGAGCGCTATAGGCTCTTAGGAGTTGTTAAATTTTTGTTTATACATAAGTCCAAAAAGGAACAACTGCTTGTATGTTTCAAATATTGCATTCTTTTTCTGAACGAACAAGCGTAAATACACTTTTCAAAGGAACCATAGCATTATAGGTAATAGATTCCTGAAAAAAAAAGCAAACAAATTACATATTGAATGAGTTAACACAACAACAAACTATGGCGCATAGTGGCACCAAAGTAAGAGCTTTATTTTTCATGGAATTTTGGGAATAGATATAAGAAAGCTTCTCTAAAATCGTTTTCTTTCCCGTCTTGCAGAAAATTTTGAGAAAAAAATTGAAATATTTTAATTTGTAGACTGTCCATTTATGTCAACTTAAACAATTTTATATATAGTTTATATAATAATATTCTGACCTGAAAATTAAAGTTCGAATATTTTAATGCTTATATGATATTATGTTGTGCTATTAATAAAAGCATACCAATTGGTTTTAACGAGATTGTCGTAACCTGTATCAAATGACTACACATATATTAAAAATAATTGTATCACACAACACTTTCACTATCTAACTTGATAAGCTTTTATGAGATAATTATAAAAACCCGTGTATAATCAGTATTAATTTTGTACATCAAGTTGCATAAGTTCATTTATCGATGACAAATGGAGAGATCAAGTAAGTAATATTGAACTTCGGTCAGTACTACTTATGAATTAATCATTTTTGTTTGGTGGTTTCTTTCTGTTGTTTTTGGTTTTATTATTACTATTTGTTGCTGTTTGACATAAGAAGATAAAAAAGTTGGAACAAATTGTGCAATTCAAAAGTCCACCAATCCCTAGAAATTTGCATAGACCGTAGGTTTGAAATATATAAATCACGGAGGTACTGACAGAACAAAAGCACGATTTGGGACTGCCAATCTTATTTTCCAAATCGGATTTCTATACTTTAAACTTGTAGACAAGGAAATAATGCGAATTCTATATCTATCATATCATTTAGTAATCAGATTTACAATTTTGGGGTAAAATCATGACCAAGTCGCATACGGGATCTGGAAAATTGAACATATGCGGAAAGTCTGAGAAAATAGTTATCTTTAGGAGGATTTTCGATAACTTATCTTGACCTATTTGTTTGTAAAAATTTCCTTTGTAAGGAGGACTTTATCCTCTTTATTTACAGCATTTCTTAAATTTTATGTATATCTTTCATAAACAAAATTTACTTCTAGACGGATGCAGAAGTCCAATTAGAAACCAATTTCATGTATTATAGTGCGGGAGCGTTTTTTCTGAGTAAAATGAAAATGTGGGGGTAGATTGAGAACTAAACTTTGAAACAAAAGGAATGGTTTTAATATTCTCATTGTGAACTTTCTATTATATGCAACGTCATTCTAGCCACAATAACAAATAGAATATATATAACCCATTTGACACTAAATTCCATATCTTGCGTCTTTTCCTTGATGGAGGGTTGCTACTTTCTGGGTAGCTATTGAACGAAAGGTAATGGTAAACGTCCAATTGTATTTGTAATATTTGTATTTTTATCCATCTGATGAGTTAAGCCTCTTTCAACTGATTTTTATAGTTCGTTCTTATGTTGTACTGTTACACTACTGACCCAGGTTAGGGGGGGGGGGGGGGGGGGGGGGGGGTTGGGATCCCGCTAACATGTTTAAACCCGCCACATTCTGTATGTATGTGCCTGTCCCAAGTCAGGAGCCTGTAATTCAGTGGTTGCCGTTTGTTTATGTGTTACATATTTGTTTTTCGTTCATTTTTTGTACATAAATTAAGCCGTTAGTTTTCTCGTTTGAATTGTTTTACATTGTCATTTCGGGGCCTTTTATAGCTGACTGTGCGGTATGGGCTTTGCTCATTGTTGAAGGCCGTACGGTGACCTATAGTTGTTAATTTCTGTGTCATTTGGTCTCTTGTGGAGAGTTGTCTCATTGGCAATCATACAACATCTTCTTTCTTATATTAAGTACTGTTATGAAAGTATTACGGACACCGTCACGATTTGTTGACTTGGATAGCTGTGTAACAGATACCAACGGATGTTCCACTTCTCGTTTAAGAAGCTCTAGTTTGTAGCGTTTTCTGGAGTGTTGTTTGATTGTTCGTGGTTTTTCTATTTGCCATGGTGTTGCCTGTCGTTCTTCGGCATATGATTTTTGATTCTTCTTTGTGTATCTTCAACTTTTAAACGCAATTTATATCTCAGTTATAATGTCTCTTTTTAAATAATGTCATGTCTCTTTCAGACCTGATATGGGCTGTACGCCAAATATCAATAATACATTGTATGTTATACATTGCTGCTAGTATTTAATCAAGATATGTGTATTATATGTTACGTAATATTGAATCAAAATTAAATCACTTTGGAGAATGTGTCGTTGTGTTATTTTTTGTACCAGATACTTGTATAACATTCATGAAAGACTAGATAAATTGTTTTCTTATTTGATAGATTTTTATACACCCGTTACGGGACGTATTATGGTATACCGTTGTCCGTCCGTCCGTCGTCAACATGTCGGACAATAACTCAAAAATGCTTTAACCAATTTGCATGAACCTTTAGTGAATTGTTTATATCTATTGATGTGAGCTCCCTTTCGATTTTTATAAATCTTAGATTTTACGTTTCCGAGTTATGGGGTTTTATTCATTAAAAAGGGGGGTTTTCCAGTTTTTGTGACAATAACTCAAAAACACTTTTACCAATTTGCAAAAAAAAACTTTGGTGAATTGTTTATATCTATTGGTGTGAGCTCCCTTTCGATTTTTATGAATTTTAGATTTTACTTTTCCGAGTTATGGGATTTTATTCATAAAAGAGGGGTAATTTTCCAATTTTCGGACAATAACTCAAAAGTGCTTTGAGTAGTTTTCATGAAACTTTGGTGACTGGTTTATATCTATCAAAATAACCTCTCTTTATTTTTTTTTTTATAAATTTCTGATGAGGAGTTATGGAACTTTATTCTTTAAAAAAGCGACGGGTGTATCATGCGCTCATGGCGCAGCTCTTTATTATAACAATACTGTTGTCATTTAACGTGTTATATTGCAAAAGATTTAGACTTACAGTATGGAGGTTTTCTAATCATTCGTCAGAAAAGTCACATGCTTTGTTTTTATCAGATCCCACCAAAACAATGATTTTGATTTTTTTTAGATACATGTATTTCCAAATTGGTTACTGTTCACTTTTTTTGGACAAAAATCCGAAACTAAGAAACAAAATTGCCCGATGCCATGCTTAAAGCCAATACACTTAAGAAGTCGTATCTGGATCATTATGATTGTTCTGTCCATTCATATAGCTTGCCAAAAACATTTCTTAAT